AGACATAAACATATATGTGTGTATATATGCAGAATACATATTCACAGCTGAACCTTTAAAAAAGGAGACCTTCCATTTGCAACAATATAGATTAACCTGGAAGACACTAAGAATAAATCAAGCAGAGAAGAGAAATTATCTTACATATAATTTAAAATGTTTAAACTATTTAAATGTTAAATGAGTTTAAAATATTGAGTGCATAGTGGCAAAGAGAATAATGGTTTCCAGGAGAAAGAAAAGCTGGGGATGGGTAAATGCTAAAGCATGTACATTTAGAAATTTAATAACAACATAACAACAATAGTTAACAGTGTTACATTAAATACCTAAAGCTATCCAAGAGTTCATTTGCACCTAGCATGCATTCATATGCACACAGAGAGAGAGCGAGAAAGCGAGAGAGTGAGAGCGAGAGAGATAGAGAGAGAGGAAGGTCACTACATTAGACAGATATAAAACATCCTGTTGTATACATGAATATATACAATAAAATACATACTTTGAAATATATACTATAAAATTATTTCATACAGCAGATTAACAAACTTTCTTAATTTTTTTTCACATGTGTGTGATGGGGGGGTGCTATTGTGGAATCTAGGAATGAAACCCAGGTGCTGTCCTCAGATGTCATAAACTTTGTCTTTGAGACAGATCTCTTATTTACCCTGGAATTCACTGATTCACCTATACTGTCTGGCCCATGAGCCTTAGTGATTCACCTGTCTCTGCCCTTCCAGGGCTGGTATCATGAATGCATACCACCAGGCCCAGTTTTTTTTTAAATGTGGGCTCTGGGAATCAAACTCAGGTCTTCATGCTTGCAATGCAAGCACTTTACCAACCAAAGTATCACCTAGTCCCCATTCTATGTTCTATTCTATGATGTGAAATATATATTTCTAAATTTTGGAAGTACTAAAATTATAACATATATTTAACTTAAAATATGAAATTTGCTATGAATCGTCTTTTTTTTCTGAACCATTCAAATACCATAAAATGCTTTAACATGAAATCTTCTGAGTTCTGTGGGGCCCTTCTTCATCTCTGTATTATAGGACCATTTTCAAAGGAAAAGTTGCCCAATTTCTTCATGTAACTGACATAACTTTTATTTCTTCATATTCTGGACTCTATATTTGTAATACCAAACCTTTTCATTTCTAAGCACACTAATTTTAGAATTGTGTCTGTGCGGAACAGCTTTTGTTGTCAACTTGACACTCCTGTGTTGAGGGAGCTTCAAAGGGGGAACTGCCTCCATTGAACTACCTGTGGCTATGTCTGTGGGACATTTTCTTGATTGTTGAGTGATGTGGGAAAACCCAGCCCACTGTGGGCAGTGCCATCTCTGGGAAGGTTGTCCTGTATTATATGAGAAAGTAGGCTGAGCACTCGTCAGAGGGCCAAGCCAGTAAGCAGTGTTCCTCCATGGCCTGTGTGACTCAGCTTCTGCCTCCAGGTTCCTTCCGGAGTTGAGTTCCTAAATTGGGCTCCCTCAGTGATGAACTGTTGATGAACTGTGACCTGGGAGATATAAGCCAAATAAATCCTTTCCTCCCCAAGTTGGTATTGGTCAGAGTGTTGTCACAACAATTGAAGGCACACTAGAACAGAAATTGATACCAGGATTGTGGGGTATTGCTGTGACAGACTTGACCTTGTGCTCTTGGGAGGACTGTGGAAGCCTTTGGAACTTTGGGCTAGAAAAGCCATTGAGTGCTTAGAGTTTGTTGCTGTGGAGCTTGGAACAGTTATGCTGAAAGAGTTGTAGATAATAGAGGCCTATCTTGTAAAGCTTCAAAGGGAAGTTGAGACTATCAGGGCTCTTTGTGTGATATTTTGAATTAATCCGTAGTTTCTGGTTAGTTAGAGCTGAAGAATCAGCTGTGATTAAGAAGAGACCATAACCACTAAAGTGAAACCTTTGCTTTGCTGGGACATTTGATGCTTGTTAACTGGGGCTAAAAATCTGTTGTGAGTAACAGGAGACCAAGATCATGGTGGTAAAATCTTCTGGGAGGTATTACCTCAGGGTCATCACATAGAAGGTCCAGAAGGGCCTGACCCTTCATCTCATGCTGGAAGCAGGACTTGGTAATGTGTAAGAATCTCCTTCATGGTTCTGATGTTGAAAGCGTGAAGAGATCACAGAAAGCAGTAAAGATTTGGCACCCTGAGAGGCCAGGAAAGTCCATAGGTGAAATTGCAACCTCAGTTGCAGTGAAGACCCCTGGATTGAAGGAGTCATGGAGAGAATCTCAAGCTTTGCACTCCGAGAGGCCAGAAGAGGCCATTGGTAAAGGTGCAGCCTTAGTTTCAGTAGAGACTCCAGATTTTTGAGATACCAGAACCATGGGATGACCTCCAAGAGCAGCAGCAGGTGTGGAATGGAGCCAGTCTGGGCCAGTGAGACAAGCTGTGCGTGCTTTGGACGGCAGAGTCAAAGAAGTGGAGCTACCAAAACACTTTGGAGCCCAGAAGATTGTGAGTGAATTCCAGATGTCCAGACTTGAGCCATTTGCTGGACTTAGGTTTTGCTTAGGTGTGCCCCATCTTTGCTTTTGAAATAAGACAGTACTTGTTTCAGATTTTACAGAAGCCCACAGTTAAAGGACTTTCAAAAGAGGCTTTGAACTGTTAAAGTGTTTGGGTTTTTTAAGAACTATGGGACTTTTAAAGTTTTGCTGTTTTAATGTGATATTAATATTAACATATCATGGAGACAAGAAATGGAAAGTTTGCGATTTAACAGTGATATAAATGTGTGTCAAGTTGACAAGGGGTTAATTGTACTGGACAGCTTTTGTTGTCAACTTGACACTCTCGGCTTGAGGGAGCCTCAATTGGGGATGTTCCTCCATTGAACTGGCCTGTGCCTATGTCTGTGGGACATTTTCTTGATTGTTGAGTGATGCGGGAGGGTCCAGCCTACTATGGGCAGTGCCATCTCTGGGCAGGTTGTCCTGTATTGTATAAGAAAGCAAATGAGCACAGGTCAGAGGACCAAGCAAGTAGGCAGTGTCCCTCCTCCATGGTCTGTGCTTCGGCTCCTGCCTCCAGATTCCTGCTCTGAGTTCCTACCTCGGGCTTCCTCAGTGATGAATTGTCATCCTGGAGATGTAAGCCAAATAAACCCTTTCCTTCCCAAGTTTGTATTGTTCAGAGTGTTTTGTCACAGCAATTGAAGGCAAACTAGAATAGTGTTCATAAACTATAAACTGACGAATTTGATGTTATTAGGAATGTAGTGTTCAAATTTGTTTGGGCTTCTTATTAAGCAATTTAGCAATAGTTTCAATACACAGGATTACAATATTTCATTTAATAATTTAATTTCTAGAAAATTACTAATAAACCTAAGATTTAGATACAAAAATATTAAATCAAACATAAGATAATATGATTAAAAACATAAATAACATAAATCTCCACTAGTATGAACCCATTAAATACAATGTGGTCAAAAATATTAGTGGAATGAAAGTACTCATGAAGCAGAATGAAATAAATCATAGGTGACTTGAAAAAATATTTATGTTAAAATTATACCAGAAAAGTCAAGGGCCACAGCACAAATCTACTCTTAAATCACTATCTTGTTACCATATTTGCTTAAGGAAGGAAAATTATTTGCTAAAACTTAGAAAGGTATTATGTAGAAATAAGGTGAGAAATATGTGAAATCATTTTATAACCATTGTAATGTAGCTTTATAGTTTTTGTGACTATAAGTTCTTTCTTTCCTTCTTTCCTTCCTTCCTTCCTTCCTTCCTTCCTTCCTTCCTTCCTTCCTTCCTTCCTTCCTTCCTTCCTTCCTTCTTTTTATGTTAGGTGTATGAGTGTTATGCCTACATGTGCATAAGTGCACCCATATGGTGCAGTGTACTGAGCAGAGGATACAACAGGGCATTGGATCCCCTGGAACTGGAGTTATGAATGGTTGTTAGCCACCATGTGGGTACTGGGAATTGAATCCAGGTTTTCTACAAGGACAGCCAGTGCTCTTAACTGCCGAGCCATCTCTCTAGCCCCAGAAATTAGTTTCTTTTTTTTTTTTAATGTGCCAAGCTTTATTTTCTTTTAAATTACTTGATAGAGCAAATGCTCTTCAAAATGTTAAACTGGTTTGGCTTGCATTTTACAGAAGAAAAAGAAACTGAAGTGAAATTGTAGGAATTGCTGAACGTCAGACAAATGTTTCTTCAAAATAAGAGATATTAGTTCCTAAAAGATTCTTCTAAAATTAAAAAAAAAGATTGAGAAAAACATTAATCCATTGGAATTATTACATCTTTTAAAAACTACATGCTTCTTAATAGACACATGTTTACATTCACAGACAGTTCAAGCCCATATAAAACTCAGGAGACAGCACTGATGTCTAAATTAAATGAAACAATAAAAACCTCTTCTTCATATTAAAAGCGCTTCAAACCCTAATCTACCTTTATTTTCTAAGAAACTTTAAAAAGAACAGTTAATTTGAAAATAAAAGGTTGCACAGGCCACTTTAAGGAAAAGAAAAACATCATGTTCATATTGTGCCAACAGCTAGTGACATTAACTAAAACCTAGTGACAATACAGGAGTTCAGAGCACCAGCTGGTCCTCTCCGCCCTCCTGAATTACCTGACCGATGGAAGTTTGGTTTTGTTGTTTTGGAAAGCATTGTTTTTACATTCCATCAGTTGTTCAAGGTCATGCTACATTTTTGCTTGCTTCATATTTGGACCATGACTTTCTCGTACAGTTGTTTTTCCTGGAGTTTCTTTCCAATGTTTTCTTGTTCAGTAATACTGTTCAGTAATACTGTTCCCTAATTACTTTCCTTTTTTCTTATTGATCAGAGGAGACATACACCTTCATTTCATCAGTTGCATGACTAAGCTGAACTTCTAGGTTCTTAATCATACAATTTGTATAATGGTATTTACTTTCTTCTTGAAGACATTCTTCACGGAGTCCTTGAACTTGGAGCGATTGGATTGCTTCACTGGCTTCTTCAGAGGAGTAATGAACTAAAGAAAAGGGCTTATTTAGCTCATTTTTAAATTAAACTTGAGGTACCAAGTGAGTTTCTTCAAGATGTAACTGTGGCTGACACCAATAAACAGTATGAAGAGTTGATGGAAGCCTTTAAAGTTTTGCATAAGGAATGTGAGCAGCTCAAGACATCTGGATTTTCTACAGCAGAAATAAGGGACATCAGTGCAATGGAGGAAGAAAAAGACCAGCTCATTAAGAGAGTTGAAGGTTTGAAGAAAAGGGTAGAGACAGTTCAGAATCATCAACGAATGCTTAAACTAACAAGGCAACTTCGAGTTGAAAAAGACAGAGAAGAATTTCTTGCACAACAGAAACAGGAACAAAAGAATCAGCTGTTTCATGCACTGCAGAGATTGCAAAGAGTAGAAAATCAACTGAAAAGTATGCACCATGCTGCAGCAGATGCAAAGCCTGAAAGTTTAAAGAAGAGGCTAGAGGAAGCGATAAAATTTAATTCATATATAGTAACTGAAAAATTTCCTAAAGAATTAGAAAACAAGAAAAAGAAATTGCACTTTTTACAAAAAGTAGTTTCAGAGCCAGCTATGGGTCATTCTGATCTTCTTGAACTTGAATCTAAAGTCAATGAAGTAAATGCAGAGATCAATCAGTTGATTGAAAAGAAAATGATGCGAAATGAGCCAATTGAAGGCAAGCTCTCATTCTATAGGCAACAGGCAGCCATCATTTCTCATAAAAAAGAAGCCAAAGCTGAGGAGCTTCAGGAGGCCAAGGAGAAGTTGGCCAACCTGGAGAGAGATGTGTCAGCAGAGACGCACCAGACCCAGGAATTTGACAGCGCAGAGGTTTTAAAGGGAGAAGAGTTCAAATGCTATGGCAGCAAACTGGGAAGCAAAAATACAGTCTTCAAAAAGAAGCATCAGATAATAGCTGAATTTAAAGCTGAATTCAACCTGTTACAGAGGACAGAAGAGCTTCTTAAGCAACGTCAGGAAGCTGTTCAACACCAGCTGTGAACTATAGCAGAGAAAAAGGGTGTATCAGGTACAGTTATGCCCAAGAGGAACTAGAAAGAGTGTCGGCCCTGAAGAGTGAAGTGGACGAGATGAAAGGATGAACATTGGATGATATGTCTGAAATGGTGAAAAAGCTAAATTCCCTGGTATCAGAAAAGAAGTCTGCTCTAGCCCCAGTTATAAAAGAACTACGACAGCTGCATCAGAAATGTCAAGAACTAACCCAAGAGTGTGACGAAAAGAAGTCCCAGAATGATATCTGTGCAGCAGGCCTTGAAAGCAATCAGAAATTAGTTTCTTAAGTACCATATTTAAGTTTAAAATAGCACAGATGTTTGGAGAGTCATGGGAAGTCAGAGGTGGTTGAGTAAACCTATTTTAGACTAGACTACTGTAATGAGAGCTGGGGGAATATTTGGAAGACTTTGAGAAAAAATGTGGTATCCCTGGCTTTGTCTTCACCAAGACCAGTGCGATTCTGGGAGCCTTAGTCTGTGGAGATGAACTTGGAGGTTTTACAGTCTGCACACATGGGGAGTGCACCAGAGCTAGATGACAGCTTTGCCACGTGCACTGCTAATAATTTCAAATTCTGGAGGCTGAGGCAGGAGGAATAGAAGGAGTTCAAGATCAATCTGGCCCCCAATAGTGAGGTCCACTGTCTTCAACAAGATAAAAAAAGTGGAAATGCACAGAAAGTTTAAATAAAAAGTAAATGTTTTCATGATCATGGTAGTTATTTCACACAGAAGAGACTCCAGTACAGCATCAAGTTATTCAAAGAACATGGAATATAAAAGGATTTTGTGCTAGGATCCACAAATGAGGGAGAACATACATCATTAGTTTTTCTGAGTCTGTGTTACTTCACTTAGTATAACAGTTTCTAGATCCATCAATTTACCTGCAAATTTCATTATTTCATCTTTCTTTACTGCTGAATAGAACTCCATTGTGTAAATATAGCACTTTTTTGTTAACCATTCATTAGTTGAAGGGCACTTAGGTTGCTTCCATCTCTTAGCTATTGTGAAAAAGAGCAGCAACAAACATGATTGTACAGGTGTCTCTATAATAGGATGAGTCCTTTGGGTTTATGCCAAGGAATGGTATAACTGTGTCATATGGTAAGTTCATTTTTAGTTTTTTAAGAGTTCTCCACACTGTTTTCCATAGGGGTTGTACGAGTTTGCAATCCTACCAGTGACTTCAGCTGTCCCTGCTTGCTAAACATTGTCACAATTTGGCTTGTTGGTGATTGTGCTCCTTCATTAAAGGAGGGGCAAGTAGGGTCAGTGGACCCTCACTGGAGTATCCAGCCACTCTTCCCAGCCAACTGTATGTAATTTGGCCCTAATTACACATGGACTCCTGGATTTGGGGAGGACTAAAGTATAAAATCTGGGGAAGGCTAGGAAGAGAAGGCTTGATCCATGCTGGGTAAAGGCTTTCCAGTGTGCATACACCCAGGCCACTCCTACACCTCAGCAACTCCTCAGTCATCTCTGTAAGTAAGTGCAATAAATTCATTATTTCCTGAGGAAAACTTTAATCAAACATTGGTTTGACATTAGAACCTTAAAAGGGGATAAGCTTTGCTTAGAATCCCCTGGAAAAGAATTTTCATAACAGATGGAAAATTTCTTTGTTGATGTTATTATGTCTCATAATTTTATGTCTCAAAATTATTAAAAAAGAAAATGAGAATGTAAAAGATGTTAAAATGATATGGGAATGGAGATATTTTCCAAAATAGACAGAAAAAAATGAGAAAACCTAAGCAAGAGATGAAAGTCTGTGTAGGTTTGTTGTGATATATAAAGGATGAGACAAAAATAATATAATCTTAAAAATTTCTAAGGTCATGGTTTAGTCAACTAGTTTAAGGATCAAAATGTATGTCTAATCAAGTTTTATCTGAGAATGTTTGTGTTTTGCCCAAGCTTTATCTAAAAAGCACATGGTAATTAAAAGTACCAGACTGGTGGAACTAACCTTCTTAGATGCTTAACAGCTGTACTTTGAGGCCTATACTTATCTGGTCAGAGGGACTTAAAAGACAGTTTTTGCTTCTTGCTCTCCAAGGTCGACTAAGTTCCAGGGGACTACAGAGAATCTCTCAAAATGTCCTGTAACTGTGGTGAGTCACTTGTCCTCCTGTTCAGGGAAGCAATGGACATCCCACCAAATGGACTTGAACCAGTGTCCAGTCCACAAAGAGAAGGGTCAATTCCAAAGAAACATTTCCTCCATGCTTCCAAGTGAAACCAGTCACATTTGAGCAGGATCTTTGACTTTGACTTATCATCACATAGATGGAACTAATAAAAGAAAGGAGCCAGGGGCTCTTGCCAAGCCCATGTGACCCTTGAGAAACAGATCCTCAAATGACCTGAAGAGTAAAAATAAATTGGTCAACTGTATGGTCTTAAACACCCAAAAGGAAAGTATAATCAAAGATTAAAGTGATCAGTATATTTCTTTAAGAGTTCTAGGGATTATACTTCCAAGATATTAGGCTTAAGCCCATATAAAATATTATTTAGACAATTATTTATCATTGATGATTTTGTTTCTAAGTAGAAAGTGCTGCTCAGATGTAAGACTTCAAATTTTGCTCTGCAATACTGTTGTTCTAAAAATGATGGTTAAATTCGTTTTCTCCCCGCTATCTAGAAGCCTTTGAGAGAAAACTGACACTGATTCTAGACACTCAAACAGCTATCAAACTACCTAAAAGCAAATCCTGAGTCCATCACTCTTGAGTCCAGCCTTGGAAGACAAAAGAAAAATGAGGAGGAATCCAGTAGAGGGATGCTTTTGGAAGCTCTTGTCAAGAAATCCCAAAGGACTCTGATATGAACATTTGAAATTTGCCCTGTTCTGACCTTTTTCTGGTTCCCTGTCTAGAACTTGTAATGCTAACTACTGTGGCCTTTACTTCTCCTTCACATCCCATATTTACCAGTCAGGGGCTTTCTTTTCTCCCTACAGATAAGAGTTATACAATTTGGGAGACTTTTAGATAGACCCACTGAAGGGGTACCCCAATTGCCTCACCTCGTGTCCCTGCTCAGCGTGGGAGAATCCAGAGTGGTCTGTTTCTCAATTCCCTATTGGCAATTTGGGTAACCTCTTCAGAGGATGGTGTGTTAAGAATAGGAGGTAGGAACTGGCTAGGCAGTTAGGGTAAATAGGACCCCAAAGAAAAGTAGCCAGTTTCTTGGCTAAAAGTCAAAATGTCCTTGGGCCTCTTACCAACATACTCTTTTCCAAAGGCCAAAAATGTCAAATGTATTTGGGAGCTCTTATCTAATCCTTAAAAAATTTTAGGGCTACTTCTTTAGCGGGGGGAATTTTAGAGTAGCAAAAAGCCCCATTAGAAAGAAAGAAAGATGAAAGAAAGAAAAGGAAGAAAGAGAGAGAGAAAGAAAGAAAGAGTACACAATGTTGTCCAAAAAAGTGATGGGAAATATGGGAAGGGTTGGAGGGGAGGGAGTGGGTGTGGATCTGATCAAAACACTTTATATGCATGTATTGAATTCTCAATAAAGTTTTTTTAAAGTTAAAAACTATGTGTTTTATATGTCTAAATTCTTGAGAGAGAGAGAGAGAGAGAGAGAGAGAGAACACCAGAGTGAGCCAGAAAGAGAGAGAGAGCCAGGGAGATGGAGAGAGAGAACCTAGAACAATTCAGAAGGTCAGAGTATAATTTTCATGGAATATTGGACTGTGTGCAATGCAGATATTTTAAGAAGTTCTTTGTGTATTTTTCTTTAATCATAAAATCACAGTAATCACAATTCATATTTCTTCTTTTCATAAGTGCTTATTTTCATGGACTATTTGACTGTGTGCAATGCAGATATTTTAAGAAGTTCTTGTCTGCGTATTTTTCTTTAATCATAAAAGCACAGTAATCACAACTGATATTTCTTTTCATAAGTGCTTTTCTCTTGGTATCTGCTTTCCGGAGATGTCCAGATGTGTATCTTCTAGGACTTGCTATCACAGTATTATTAGAACTTTTAATATCGTACATGGGGAGCAAAGGATAAGGATGTTTTCATTTATCTGAGATAGATAGAGTTGAAATAATTACCTTTCTCCCTTTTGTACATAAGCCACCATATAAACAATCTTTTAGAATTACAAGAGTTAGATAAAGTTGATTCCTTTTTTTGTCTTCACTTTATTAAATATCCAATTCATGGAAAGTCAGTGGATCTCTGAAATTAACAATTCTTATCTTGTGATTTTAGTCTGCCCCAAAAGAAGTAGTTTTATTTTAGATGGATGTTGTCAATGGCAAAGCTAATTTTGTTCATATTTGGTAATTTCCCGGTAGTGTGCTTTAACTGAGATTAAAGCATAAAATATTTCCTTTTGGAAAAATACAAAAGGGAAAAGAAAAACTCATATATGGCAGATACAGTATCATCTCTTAGACACACACACACACACACACATTTTACATTAGAGGGGGGCTGTGGATTTGAAAATCAAAAAGGGGCACATAGAACTGAATTGCTGTGCTCAGATACTTTCGCTGTATCCATTTTTCTTCCAGCTTTGTTAATGTATATTTGATAGGTTTTATTGTATGCACTTACCATCAGGAAATGACGATGGTTGTATACTTTGTGAAATGGTAAGCAAATAGCTGACATATACTTCTCGTAACACACTTGCCATTTATTTAAAGTAAGAACCCTATTTTTGGAAACAGGACTTCCTGTAGCCCCAGCTGGCCTAGAACTCACTATGTAGACCAGGCTGGCCTTGATCTCACAAAGATCTGCCTGACTCTGTGTCTGGAGTGTTTCAATTAAAGGCATGTGCCAACATACCCAGCTGTAGTAAGAACTTTTAAGAAAACTATTCAAAAATTTCCTAGTATACAATAATTTATCATTAACTTAAATCATTATGCTTCACAGTAGATATCCAGAAAAATAATCCTATCTAATTGCAGCCTATTAATCAACCTCCCCTTTCTTCCCTCTCCCACCCTGGTAATCACCTTTCTACTCTCTGTATGCATTCAACAATTTTAGATGCTAGCATATATGTGAGACAATGCATTATTTGTCTTTACTTGATTTGTTTGACTTAACATAATGTACGCCAGGTTTACCCATGTTGTGGCAAATGCCAGGGTTTTCTTTTTAAGGCTAAATAGTATTTCATTGTTTATATCCACCACATTTTATTTACCCATGTATCCATCTACAGACATTCAGATACATTCGTTAGCATAGTTATAGAGAATAATGTTTCTGTGAACATGGGAT